TAAGAAGCTAGATTAGGCTAAAATAGACTAATATAGAGTAAAACTTACTAAATAATATTATTCTAAATTCTCTTACACGCGTCTACTAAGTCTATCTTTAAAACGCGTAGATTACTATAATTAAAGTCTACTATAGGTAGTATATTAACTACTAAAGTATTGCTAGAGACTTTAGAGTGTAGAATAATAGAGTTTTTACTAGAGAGCTTCTAGTTAGCTAATAACTAATAGATAAGTTTATAGATAGTCTCTAGGTTAATTAGGTCTTCTAGAGGCTATATTAGTTAGTATTAGTTTAAAACAGCTTAAAATAGGCCTAAATACACTAAAACTACTTATTCTAGAGCTATTCGCTACTATTTAGCCTTATAGAGGCTAATAGAGAGTAATAGAGGCTAGAAGAGAGTAGAGAGAGAACTTATAGCAAAGTACTGCTTATTTATAATCTAGTAGTAGCCGTATTATATAGTTTAGGTAATATTATCTCTAGACTTAGCGCTAGTAACTTTCTTAATTATACTAGTAAAAACAGCGCGTTTCTTCTTAGTATTAAGAACTAGAAAGGTATAGCTATAGTAGTTAAATATATAAGGCTTATTAAGCTTCTATAACTATAAATAGCTAGTATATAGCGTAAAAGTAATCTTAAAGAGCTTAAGAACGTAGAAGTAGCTTATAGAGATCTTATAGTTAATAGTTATAGCTAAGTTAAGGCGTAAAAAGCTATTATAGATTAAAATAGAGTAATATAAGGCGTTATAGGTAATTATAGACAAAAAGTAGGTAGATTAATATAAATTACGCTTAGATAGTCTTAGGTAGGGTTCTAGAGGCTAGTTAGTAGTAGTTTAGTATTATTTATGCTAAAAGTTTCTAATTTAGACTAAACTATTCTATCGCGCTCTAAAATAGGCTATAATAGATTGCTTTAGATTTTCTTAGAATTCTAGAAATAATAGATAAAAGAGGCTAGTACTTATAAGTATAGAGCGTTTAGAGGCTAGAGAATAGAAAAGAGAGATCTAACTAGCTAGAAATACCTAGAGCGTATAAGCCTACGCTAGCTCTACTAGCGTAGGCAGTAGCTTTATACGCGTCTATACGTAATTTCCTGCAGCTACTATTTTTTATATTAGATTTCTACCTCTTCTATAGACGTAATACGCCTATACCTACTTACTATAGACTATCTTAAGCTATTTTAGCCTATTATAGGCTGTAGTTACCTTATCTAGCTTATTAGTTAAGCTTAGAAGTAGATTAAAGGTAATCTACTCTAAGAGAGAGAATAATATTAGGTTCTAGCTCTAAAGAGCTAGAGCTAACTTAGCACTAGCTATAAATATCTTAGAATTACTATCGTAGCTTAGTAGTAATTTATCTCTAGTCTTATTAGAATAATACACCTAATTATAGTCTAATATCGTGTATCTAGTATTTAACTAACTCTATTATTTAATATTAAGAAAGAAGTATAATTTTTAGATTAAATACTAAAGTTTTATATAAAGTTATATATACTAAGCTATAAGAGTTTAGTATCTAAGCTATATACTTAATAAGAGTTATACTTATAAATAAGTATATAAGTAATTATAGATAAGTAATAATATATTCTACTAGTTATTAGTCTAACTACTTACGCTTATTAATAAGCACTCTATATAAATCTAGCGTTACTCTACTTATAAATAAGTAGTTACGTAACTTATAGCGTAGTTCTATACTATAATTCTATAACTATACTATATAATCTTTTAAAGTAATAACGCTAACCTCTAGGTATCTTCTAAGTTAGATTATAATAAAAAGTTAGTTTAAGTAATTATAGTAGATCGAACCCGCGACTCTACCTAATCGGGCCTAGCGCCGATTAAGCGAGAAATATTAAATGTTCGCTCGCTTCTATATATAGACCTATACGCAGAATCTTACTTATTAAACTTAACTGTATTACTTCTCTATAGTAATATAGATAATAATAATACTTAGAGTGCTAACGTAGGTGCATGCTTCGTGGGTTAGCATGCTTCGTAGGTTACCTGTGCTAAGACCCTACTAAAACTACCTCTACCCTATAATGCTCTATTAACTATACTAGATAGAACTATTAAAGGAAGCTAGAATATAGACTACGCTTTAAGCTATTAAACAAGACGCGACTCTTCTATTGCAACGCGTCGCAGCTATCTATAATATCCTCTAAGAGACATTACGCTGTTAACGCGCTAGATAACCTATATAGGCAGATTGCAGGCTAATAATAATAAGTTTGTATAAGACTAAGAAGGGGGTAATTGTTTAGTACATACTTAACCTAGTTAAGCGAGAATTCCCCTCTCGCCTCGCAGATGTAGCTAATATAGCTAATTCCTTGCGCGCTAAGCGCAATCTAGCCTAGGTTAGCCTAAGATAGCCTAGTACGTTTGTTAAGCGCTAACTAGAGCTCTAAGTAAAGTTTAATCGCAAGTACGACTATAAGAGAGCCCTCTGCGAAGACCCTGTAGCTATCTAAGCCTAGTTCTAGCTAGTAGCTAATATAAAAGCTAAGTACGGCATCTAGAATAAGAACACCTATAACTTTAATAAGACTAGCTTTATAATAGGCATAATATTAACTAGAGCTGTTGTCACAGCTTTAGAGAAGCGAGGACGACTAAAGTCTGTCTAGCTAGGCAATCGCGAGTAGACTATAGTTATTTAGGGCATTAATGCAATAGAATAGGCTATTCCGCCCTATATTGTCTTTAAAAGGCGCTATTACCTCTCTGCCTAGTATAAAGAGGACGCTATACCTTAGGATTAGTTAATCTCGGTCTCTAAGAACGGTTAGACTATAAATAAGATTAGTTTCTAGTAGTTAGAACACTTTAATGCCTATATAGAGAAGCGTACTATAGGACAGCACTAGCTGCTTATTATTAACAGATATAAGAGCTATAACGCCCTTTAGTTTAAGCAATACTACAAAGAGAAGAAGATTATTACTCTCTACATGCCTCTACACTTATCTTACCTACTATAGCTACTTAATATAGGTTATTTTAGGCTGTTAAAGAAGGCGTATAGCTGCTAAGCTGAGAAGCTAATGCGCAACTAGATTAGCTATATTACGAAACTTAAGTTCCTACTATGCTTTAAGCGCGCCTTTAACGCCGCAATTACTCCTAGTAATATCTAAGAAGAGTTTAGAGGCGCTAGATTAGTCCTATTTAACCTAGAGAGGGTTATAATAGGCTTTAATATATAGTTGCGCACCCTTTTACTACTACCTGTTAGCAACTCGCCCTAGCTATCGCAAACTCTTAGTAATACCCTTAAAATAGGGTCGCAATTAACGCTAGTAAAGCAGAGGATTTAGAGGCATATAGATAGCTCTCTAACTTCTATAGTAGAGGCCTTTAAGAAGGTCTTAAAGGGCGCAGCAATAATTGCGTATAAGCTAGTATTAGCCTAAAAGGAGATTGCTAAACTTTAAGCGGCTAATAAGGCTACTACGCGGCGCAAATTGCATAAAAGAAAGCGGGTTAGAGCGGAAGGGTCTATAATAATAGAGGATAGCTAGCGTAGAACAGCTTTATAGGAGTTTAGAGCGCGTAGTAATAGAAAGAAGGTAAAAAGGCGGGTGTGCGCTAAAGAGGGTAAACTATCCTAAAGACGCTATAGACGCTGCAATAACATAGAGTATAACGCGCGAACGTATAATTATAAAGTAGAGGTAGCCTCTTAATTCTATTTTAGTGTCTTTTATACTATATTATACTAAAGTAGGTTGTAATAGGCTATAATAGGGGGGGTTTTAGTGGGGTCTTAGCACAGGTAACCTACGAAGCATGCTGACCTACAAAGCATGCACCTACGTTACTAATAGTATATAGTAATTAACTATAATAAAATTAACTTTATTTAGCTAGAAATTAATACTTTAAACTAGCTACTTATAAAGTATATTAATAGTACTTTTAGCTAATATAAGAAAGAGTAGCTTAAGCGTATATATATAAAAAAGATAAGTATTAACTATATTATTATTACTAAATATAGTAAGTACTTTAATTTACTTAAATAGATATAGTTTAAAGTAGTAAGTATAAGTTAGTAAAAATAATAAAATACTAAAGTAAAATTATAGAAGAAAACCTACTTAGAGACTAGTATCTTAGTAATAAAATTACGTTAAAATATTAGAAACATTAGAGGCGTGTACTACTAAGCGTCAAGCCTCTATCCATTACACTCACACTTCGTCCTTTGCCGCAGCCCGTCTCTGGTTAACCGCGTGTTATGCGGACCTGATACGTTTACATCTGCGTCTGCTGTACATGAGTACTTCCAGCGCCACAAGTTTCGCTCGTGCCAACCGCAGCCCCTCAAGCAGGCGTCGCCTTTGATAATGCTTCTTATCACAAATTACTATGATGAGAGACCTGCACATCGTTGCTGTTCTCTATAATGTTATGCTAATGAAAGATTAGATCACCTACGTGTCATTCGAGTACGCTATCACGTATCCTTGGGACTAAGCAAACAGTTTACTTGTATACGCCCATCATAGCATCGACATCGACCCCAACTCATTCCCAGATGTTCATACGCTGCGCCCCTTCCTCCAATCCTACCGAATTCCAGGCTGGCAACAGCAAAGTCCCGCGAGTGGCAGGCCCACGGTCGTACCGAACGCACACAATCGATATCGAAGTCTTCTATACATTCCGATACTACACCAAATGACCATGTATCGTTGTGATATGACGCCCTCGACCGTTGGTCAGTTCCGCGTCTCCTCGCTCGTCGCCATTTAATCCCAACGGCTCTTCGTACTCCCATACTTCCATCGCTCTACCCTATCCATCTCTCGTCCGCTACAAGGTCTTCCGCCTAGAGCCACTCGGGCAAGCAGCAAAGACGTTGCGCTGCGATGGCCTGACACTACAACAAGTTCACGATCGTGCTGAGCATTCTGGCTCCCGATCGGAGCGTTCGGGTTGGCAACACGATGCTCAACAATCACCACCGCGGATGTATTTACCCCACTTGTCGATGCGTCTTCGTCTGCTTCCGTAAGCACGCTCGCTAGCGGTTATGATGGCGTCGCGCTGGTCGAGCGAATTGTCTCTATCCCTCTTGCGGGAGACCGGAGGCGGCGAGATTTTATACTTCTCCATGTATTCCTTCAGGTCTGTTTCACACTGCGATTCCATCTTCTCGCCATCTTGCCTCTTCTTTGGATGCAAAGTGATAGCCTGTTCTGTCCTTCCCTTGCTCGTCTGCGGCTCTTCGGGATTCTGGGCAGTGTTTTGCGTACCAGGGTTACCTTGCGAAACCACCTGTCGCGGTTTGTCTATCGCCTCTGCCATACGACTCTGAGCGCCAACGTCCGCAAAAGCTTCACGGGGAATAGAGCTTGCAAGTACCGCTGAAGTTCGCTTGTTGACTTCATCAGCTTCTGCCCCAGTAGCCGCGCTTGCTAGGCCGGGCTTTTGTGCTTGCAGACTGGTCAGCTCACTGGCGCGATCCAGAGCCCCTGCTACTTCAGCGAGCAGTTGTTCTAATTTTTGGAAAGGTGTGGCTGTGATCTTTGAGAAGGCGAGAGGTGGTAATGCCGACACACCTTCAGACCCAGCGACTGGCTGCCTTTCTGAGGGGTTCACAGGAGCGCCACCCGAATTATCGATCGCAGGCTCTTCCGTCTGCTTATTAAGATGTTCAGCCTTGCTCAACTGTTCGAGCTCTACTTCATCGCTTCCAGCAGGGTGTGTTGGTCCCAAGACACCAACAACAACTTCGTTCTGCCACCTTTTGATACGAGTGCGATCGAGCTGCTTCAGCGACGTCTTGTCCCACCACTCTATGTCGTATGCAATGGTTGGCACTCCATCGTCCCTACTGTCTGCCACGGTAACATTTGCAGCTCTTGCTCTGTCAAACGCATCCTGTGCAGCGTTCTCGGCCTCCTCAAGTGTTACGATGACGTTGTGCCAGCCCTCAAGCCACTTCTGACTGAACTCGATGCGAAAGTCAACATTTGGACGATTGACCTGCTTGGCGATATACTCTTGAAGCTCTTTCTCGTATTCAAGCCGGTACTTGTCGTGCTTCTCGCGGGCTACTTCCAACGCGGCTTTGGTGAATCTATTGCGCATGGCAAGACCTGGGCGCGTAGCCTCAACAGATTGCTTCATGTTGGCCAGCCCTGGTTTCTGTACCCGCGAAGTGGAACCTGGGGCGACAACATCCGTCCCGCCATTCCGACTCTGCTCCCAAGGAAGACGCTCCAGCTCCGTGGTAGCAGGAACGAGCTTGGTTTTCACGAAAACATCTTCTTGGATGGCATTCACCTCTTCCACGAGTTTCACCCAGGTGTTCTGTATCTCCTGAAGATATCGTGGTAATTGCTCCCGTTCCTTTTTCGCGGCTGCGTGCTTGCGTGCTATGTCGTTGCATTGCTTCACAAAACCAGTGGCTTTGGATTCTTCCTCTGGTGTCAGCACCTTTTCTCCTAAGCCATCGAAATAACTATCAGCTTCTCTCTTGGCGTGCGAATGTTCTGCAGTCAAGCGAGCGTCTTCCGCAAGTAAGTGGTCTAATCGCCGCCCGACCGCCTCCCGTGTATGTCGAAACTTGCGGCCAAACTCGATTTGCTTTTGGAGTTTCTGAGAGAGCTCGTGTGAGAGCTGTAATGCCAAAGTACCTTCCTCTCCATCAGCACCCGTAACCTTAACCATGCGAGCCGGTCCACGAGTATACATGCGGCCACCGTCTTCTCCGCCGACCCACATTGACGCCGGGCAATCTTCCTTTCTCTCCGTTTTGCCGCTCTTCCTGAGCTCTCTCTGCGGACTTTCTTTCATGATCGACTCGATATATCTTTCAGTTATGACCGTAGATTTGGGATCAGGTGGATGTGTCACGCGCGAATTCTCTCGTTCCTCTAGCGTTGAGCTAAGTCGTCCTTCGCCGTATGGCAGACCCGAAACGCCTGAATTTGATTCAGGCAGTGGCGCCGGCGCTGATTTTTCACTTTGGGTTGTTCCCGTTGTCGAGCGATCTTTGATCTCGCCGGACGCCCTTCTTTTGTGACTTTTCATCGCGTTTCCTAGGGCCACAGGGCTTGAGGAGATGTTGTCGATGACGAGTCCAACACTATCACTCGTGCGACTGGGGTCGTCGGTCAGTTTTTGTCGCTTGTTGCCAAGAAGACGATCTGTACCAGAACTTCCAATGGCCGCCCGCAGGCTCCGTCTTCGGGGAGGAGTACCATCAGGCTCTGAATCAGCGCTTGTGTGGGACATATCCTGCTGTCGCACGGGCTTGAGCTTGGAAATACCATCACCTCCAGCAGCATTCGAGTGGTTTTCGTGGCTTTGACAGTCCATACTGTGAGATTTGGTTCCGATGGCAGCCTTTGTCTTTGTAGTATGTCCTGTAAATGTGCGCGATTCCAGGTTCCGGCAATGGCCCAAGCGCGTCAAACGTGCTCTTTGTCCGTATGTCGAGAAGAATGGACGTACAAAGCAAGTCAAAGCTGATGGCTAATCTCAAGATCTGCTTTTTGTAAATCCAGGAAAGAAGATCATAAGTGCGTTTTACTGCAGCTGCTAGCGAGGCGGTGCACTCAGTCCTGTACGTGATTCCACGCATTATGACCTCAAGAACCATGGAGGTCACGCGTAACGATTGGCTATTGAGCTGTACAATCGTGCTGATGTGGAGGATGAAATCTGATGTGCGCTCAATAGCGACAGCGAATCCGAAGCTGTGTTGGAGATCGACTTCGAATATTGCGCCTTCTTCCAATTCTGTTCAACATACGGCTTTGCATCTCCTTACACGTGATTCACGAGAAACGAATTCTCCAGTGAAGGAACACTTTCTCCTCGCGAGTGCATAGACCAAATCACGTTGCCTGCGACCCGCTCCCATAAGTGGTAAGCTCCGAGCTTTTCGTGCCCAGAAACCGCAGCTTTAATATGAGAGAATACCGCTCGCCCCCTGCTCTAATCACTTACACGCCCTTATACCCTGCTCATTTCCCACGTTCGCCTTCCAACGCAACCCATTCAGTACCTGCAAAACTGCTCCACTACCAAGGCCCAGAGACGCTCGTAAAATGGCTGCGCAAGCTGATCGCGACACCTATGGTAGGACCCACCCAGTTCATGATCTCTCAATGCAGCTTACTGATGTTTCGTAGATGACGCAGTCCAACGTACTGCTCATGTAGGTCGAGATTCCGGCTCATCAACTCCCCGTTCGCCTACACATGAGTCGCAGCCTTCAAGTACCTCGAAACTGTCTGAGACTTCGACCGTTAACAACGTCGCCGTCAATCTCGAAGGGTCGCATGACGCAAAGATTACCAATGTCAGCTTCAGCCATGGCGAGGACAATAGTTCTATCGGTAACTCCAATGCCAGCTCCGAAGTCCCAGGTTAGTGACTGTCTCTCCTCGCGGTCAAAAACCCCCTAGTGCACGATTTGTATCTAGATCTGCTTGTCACACGGCATCTCACAAAAGGGAGGAATCGAACAACCATCACCCAGCAGTCCACATTACTTTGGGGCCGTTGTTAGGTCCGGTTTCCGCTCTGAATGTAGACACTAGTTCACCTGTTCGATTTTCACTTTGTATGAGATGACGGTGTTGTCGAGTTCTCTAACGCTTGGTTACTCTGGTAAACGATCCTAACAGATGTTTTGTAGGCACTGTATCAGTACCGGTTGACCTTTCGGAATTTCATCCTGGTACAGCGTCCCCCGTTGCGCCCGCCACCTCGGCGCAGACCGGTCAACCTAGACCACCGCAAGTGAACGAAGGCGATCATGTTCACTTCCCCATTTCTCCAACGACGCCCTTAGCCGTTGGTGTTCGAGCAAATCCGCCGACAGCAAGACCAACAATAGGGCTTGTTGAACAACGACTTATCGATGCCATAGAAGAGGCTTTCGCTGACCCTACGTTCCCCTGGCGTATCCGCGATATGGAGCCAGAAGCTCCAATTCGAGGCTTGAAGATCATTTTCGACTTCATGGAACAGATTTCAAAGCCAGTGCATTCCAGCAGCTTCAACGTTGGCGACCTTGTTGATATGATAGTAGCCGAACCGACTACTGATCAAGGCGTTCACGAGCGTTCTGAAGACCACCTCGTGAATACAAACTACGGGATCTTCGTCATAAAATCGCGGCCAGGTATAGTTGTTGAAAAGTTCGAGGAATACTGTATGGTCGCCGAATTAGGCCGTCGCAATAACAGAATTCTGGACGGACTTTCGCTCATGGGCCTCATAGAGCGCATGGGAGTTCTACCATCCGACGCTGCTCCATTTGATCTTGCTACTCTCTCGGAAGACCACGAGCTCTATCGCCTGATATATGACCCTGTAAGAGTTGCGGAGAATGTTGGTCGTGGTAAACCATTCGATCAGTGTTCTATTGTTCAGCCTGATTGCCAGCATCCTTGCAGGTACACCGATCTTCTGGTTCTTAAGGGCAGGCTCGCAACTAAGGATATGGCAAGACTTCTTGCTACAATTAAACTAGCGAAACAGCTCCGGACTGAGCTGCTGAATCGGACCACAGGGCCACTCCGTGGTTACCTGCCGACTCAAAAGATATACCGTAGACCACAAGGTGCATCAACCGAGTCTAAGCGCAGAGAATACGATGAGCTCATGGGGTTGCTAGCAATGCTCAAGCGCAAAGCGCGAGAGGCAACAGACCCTGCAAATAATCCGCCTCCGACCGACCGGCGCGACATCACAACAACAAGGTTCCGAGATTAAGTCATCTCACTAGGCGATACAGCCTCCGATGACGTAACGGGTACTGTGCAGACTTTGTCCTCGATGACAGCACCAACTGCGGCCAAATTCGTTGCCACGAGCAGCATTCATCCGGACCGTCGCCCCAGCATGGAAGTTTCTGCGCTCATACAAGCGATCGAGCAAGACTCCCGCATCGCCTGTGAGTCTGCCTCTATGCAAATTATCCCTATACAGGTTGCACGAGACATCGCGCGAATAGAATGGGAAGAGATGGCTAATGACGCTGACCTGTTTGGTGTCAATCTTCCTTCCAAAAAGCGGAAATTGGACGAAATCACAAAACTCCATAAGGAGGCAGACTCACAGAGCATGGGTCCTATGACGATACTCCGGGGTATCAAACGTCTAAAACAGAAGGTGAGGGGCTCGATATTATCCGACGAGGACTCGCGCACTGAAGCTATGCACCTTTATTCCGAGCTTGACAGTGTCACCACGGGAATGGAGAAGCTGCAAGCGAAATCCACTTTGTTCCTCGATAGGGACTAAAATCTGCTCGCTGCTATCACCTGCTGTCTACAAGTCGAGGTGCTTGCTCTAATGCAAGGCACAGTGTCTTGGTCAGCCGTGTATTCTTCTTTCCGGACTCTGGAACCCCTGTCTGAAGCCTTACCCGCTAATATCTTAACGGAAAACTGTTGTTTTTCCAATCAGCATTGACCGGATACGAGTAGCCATTTCTCCTTGTGTTGAGTGCGATTAACTGTTCGGGATTCTTGCTTTCACCTACGTCTTGTCTAGCGCCAACAGGGCAATCAACGCGGATTGATCGTTTGGACTTTCGGTGGGTCGATTAATACGGGCTGGCATAAATATGCAAGCTCGTGGTATATTTGATCTAGGATGCAATATATGCAAAGTCAGTAACTGAATGCGTGTTCATATTCATCTTTTTCAGCGCATACTCCTCCTGGCGTAGGTCGATTGGGTAATGAAGACGATAAGGAGCTGAATACCTTTATTCTCTACGCTAGCAATGATGAAAGAGGTCATTAGATACAGCGCAAATACAGGGTTCAACATCCTCGACTCGATCGGCCTCTAAGTACTTGACTAAGCTATTATGGCGCGCCAGTGGATCGACGTTCCTCTTCACTACCCCTGTACAGAAGTCGTAGTGAATATTCACCCCTTCCCAGTTAGAGCTAGGGTCTCTTCGGTTGATCCTGATTGGTCTAGCAAGGTTCACGAGACTTGCGCTTCCACCTGAGTATAACAGTCTGCCCTGCGTCCACGCAAGCTTTGCCATAGCAAACGCGAGTCTATGAATGAGTGGAGGAGCTTAAAATCGGATATGAACCCTCCACTATCATTCGGCCGCTCATTATACTTGCGACCGCAACTGCAACTCCACCGCTGCAGCAAAGTCGCTTCTCGAAGACGTGCAACCCAGACCGATAACTACTTTCTATTGGCGCTTCACTATGACAATCCAGTCCGAAATCGAAAACGGTAAGACAGTCTAGCAAACGGTCGGAAATATACGAACTAATCTTCCAGGCGATCCTACCACTCATCGACCAGCATCACGTGACCATGACGAGATACCCGCCACTTCAGACCCCGATCCTTCGCAGAAAATTACCATCAACTCTGCTCGCGCTGATCCAGATCATGATACGGACGAAGATGGCGGGAAAGCGACAACGCAGCACCTCAGTCCCAACGACAACATCGTGGAGGCTGATGCGATGGTCGAGCAAACAGACCATGAACATGAAGTACGACAGCGCCTTCGCGACAGGTACCAGGTCGGTCAAGTATTTTGGACTTTTATCGACAATCCAGATGCTGACCTAAGCCCGGATGGCGTGGGCGGAAATCGGGACATCACACTTGGGGGCTTGCGGCTGGCAGGTTGGCGACCTGTCATTATTCTCGATATACGGTCGGAGTTTTGCTCAGTTGCGGAGATGTGTCATCCAGGCCGTCAATACTTCGACGGGCTATCACTCCGTGAACTTGTGGAGCGTGGTCACGTTGTTATGGACGCCAGCGAAAGTTTCGATTACGCGTCCCTTCCCGAGGATCACCACCTCTTCCGCTCTATTGGAGAACCTTTCAGGATTAACTATCATGATGATGAAGGAAGACAGCGGCTATCAGGATGGTCATTAGTGCAGCCACTGCGTGTTCACAGCCCAGATTTCGAGCATATGGGCATACTTTGTGGCCATCTTACTGAGGAATCTACTGCGCGATTGTTGGCAGTTAGGAAAAACATTTGCCGCTTGTCAGATACTGTAGAATCAGTATACGACCTCGATTTCACACGAGCACCGATCCCTAACCAGCTTACGCCAGAGTATCGAACAGCATTACTGTGGATCAAGAATGAGATTCGCCGACTAATTCCTTCTCCCGGTAGTCCTGCGACCACCAAGGACGCACGTCTAGATATCAGTGAGCTTTTCAACTTCTCCGCGACTATACCCAATCGTGGGCACGCAGTCTCACCTTCTCTCATTATAAAGAAAGCCACAGACGCGTCTCATTCAATCTGGGAGTCTGCGCAAATCGCCACAGCCCAGAGCGAGATCCTATTTTATGAGGCAGAGGAGGAATATGACGAGATTCATGCTGATCGGTGGGCATCTACTGCCCAGCGAAACAATCTAAAGCGCAAGCAGGATGATGCCGAGGTGGAATGGGAAGTGGCAGTACTCCAGGAGAAGGGCTATAGAGAGCTTTTCAGCGAGCTCAAAAATCTCCTCCCTGATCAGTTCCAATTTCAGAGCCAGGGTGAGGACGTGCAACTTTGCTCGACTCTATCCCGCAAGTTCACCAAGGTTCAGATCGATGTTTGGAATGCCAGAGCCTTTCTTGATCAACGTAAGCGCACTCAGCTTTCTCAGCAGCGGTATTGCATTAGCTGCATCGCAGATGCATCTTGAAGACATGGGCTTCATCTACGCCACGTCAGAGAGCACTTCTCGAACATCTCATCTATTTTCAGCGAAACAGCAAGGTGTGTAGAGCTATAAGGTAATGCAATCAAGTACTTGTCATACATACAACGTGTACTTAAAGTTCGACAGCCCATGCAGTGCCTTCGATCAATCCACTACACTTTCCGAACAGCCGTGTAGCCACTAACGACATTGCATATTTTACCTGTGGTCACAGCGACTTACCCCTTCGTCATTACACCACCACCATTAGTTCCAATAACCTGACCAGTAACCCACCCAGCTTCAGGCATGCACAGTAAGCCAACAACCCCCGCTACCTCCTCTAGGTACGCCGGTCTTCCACCCAGATCCTTTGCCGCCGCGATCGTCTCCTCCGAGTCAATACCTTCTCTCGTCGCAGCCAAAGGCGCCATGTAGTTGAGCGACCAGGCCCTTTCTAACATCTCCTTCGGGAGGCTGGTATACATGCCAGTCGCGATCGCACCCGGATTGATGGAGTTGACTGTGCAGCGTTCGGCAAGCTCGCGAGCCCAGACCCTTGTCATTGCTTCAAGAGCGCCTTTAGTGCCGGCGTAGCAAGACTGCCACCAGAAACCCATCGAGGTTGTTATACTGGAGACGTTGATCACACGGCCGGATCTGTCGTTTGGTAGATACGGCAGTGCAGCCTGTAAGACGAATAGTGGAGCGCGCGCATTTAGGTTGAAGGTGGCTTCGAAGTCGGATAGTGCGACTGAGCCCATTGGCGCTGGGTTGACGACTGCCGCATTGTTTATAAGTATGTCGACCTGAAATGTATCGTTGTTGCTGAAAGCCGATTTCGCCGCATCGATGAGTTGGTCCGGGCCGTCGGGTGTAGTAACATCAACTCTTGCTACTAATGTCTTGATGGAGTGATTAACTTCTAGCTCTTTAGCTAGCGCGGTTGCGTTTTCTGTTGAGGATTCCGAAGTGTAGTTGATGACGATGTTTGCTCCCTTGGAAGCCAGATGGCGTGCCAAAGCAGCCCCAAGGCCTTTTGAAGGTCAATCAGCATCTTCTCTTCATCGGGTTCACGAAAGGAGGGACATATATACCGCGCGATGCACCAGTGATGATTGCTAACTTGTTCTCCAAAGGTCTTGTCATGGCCGATGTTGGTGCTGGGTTGAGATAGCACTGTCGCTGCCTAGTTGCCCACTTTAGTCGAGCGTAACCTACTTGATACTTTTATGCCTGCGTATATGCCAACAAATCTTGCATAAACACCAATAGTTTGGCGAATACCTCATCCCGGGCGCTGCATGTGACAATGATCCTTCGCGTAGGCGGAAGAACATGGGTATGTCCCGCGGGTGGGGATAGGCTTGGCCAGATCGGCGGAGAAGAAGGGATACATGTAACTGGCCCGCCTCATCTTCTTGATAATTTGGTTTTCGAACTGCGGGCTGCTATGTCTCTTGCGATCTGAGCAAGCTTTCACGTCCTTACAGCCCCTCTGGTCAGACTTGTATATCATTTCATTTTGACTGGTCCTTCCATCGAAGAATCCATCATGAGACTGCAAAACCGAGTTGCAATAGTGACGGGCTCGTCCCAAGGTATCGGGCGGGAGATCTGTCATCAGTTCTTCGTTGAGGGAGCCTTGCTCGTATGCGCTGATCTTAGACCTATTGGAAAGGGCGAAGACACTGCTACACACGAATGGATCATCGGCAAAGGCGGACGAGCCATTTTCGTTGAGACCGATGTCAGTGTAGCCACCAGCTGGGAGGCACTCGTTGCGCGAGCAGTGGAGGTATATGGTCGACTTGATATGTGAGTATTCGTCCAGCTATCATGTATACGATCAAGTAAGAGAAGTAACTGATATCGTGGCCCTAAAAGAGTGGTCAATAACGCTGGCATCTGCACGGAGGCCAGCAATCCGCTACCCATCGATCAAGTCGACGAAGATATGTTTGACGCCCACATGCGTATCAACACACGAGGAGTCTTCCTTGGCTGCAAATATGCCGTTCGTCAGTTTAAGGCACAAGCGCCGCAGCCCAATGGTATGCGCGGCTGGATCGTGAATCTCGCTTCGATGGTATCCAACATCGGTATGCAGGGCCTCAGTAAGTTATTCCACGCGAGAACGTATGATCATTTTGCTTTTGGCGTTGGGCTTACATGTTCCAGCTGGGTATACGGCGTCCAAGGGTGCTGTGGCTTCGATGACGCGAACCATTGCGCTGGATGTTGCGAAAGAAGGCATAGTCGCCAATTGCATTGCTCCTGGATGTAAGTCACCCTTTCCAGTATCGCATGGGCCACTCTAATGTCTTTTGCCAGTTTCGCAAACTGCAATGCTCGAGGATGCGCTTGGTGGGGCCTTGTCGTCCGCAGCGGACGCGGTCAAAGCCTCTATTCCTCGCGGCAAATTCGGCCACCCCCACGATCACGCAAGGGCTGCGGTCTACCTCGCTAGCGACGATGCGCAGTGGGTCACCGGACAGGTGTTGAATGTTGATGGTGGCTTAACAGCACAATGAGTCTTGCAAAATTTGCTGTGCATCGGGTCGCACGTCCAATCAGGTGGTCTTACAGATAGCCTGCAGGTACTGCCTCCGGAAACGTCTGGACTTCTTGTTAGCCCTCAGAATTGAAGTCTGTCTAGAACATGAGAGCTCTCGCATATACTGTAACTCCATACCGGTTGCGGTTGTGCCTGCATGGCATGCAATGTGCCGGCAGCGGGCGAATTTCAAGGATATCGCGCTACAGCCCGTTTTGGCCGCTCTTCCGCCTTCCCCGCCCGGAGTATCTGTGCGTCAGGCTCCCCTCTCAAGCTTCCCTCCCAGTATTGACCAGCCACTGCCTTCCATACCCTCTTCTCATCTAGTCACTCGTTTTGCCATCAAAGATTCTCTCGGTTCGTTGACCTCCCGTAGCACATACTGCATCCTTGGCGGGCGTGGCAAGCGACGTGGGGCCGACAGCGGCGCATGGACTCGGAAATATCATGACCATGCCGCATCCTCGCATGTCACATGCGCAAAGCGCGGTTCATTGGTAGCACTGACTGCTCGACCTTGTCACATTCACATCAGGCCCTGTCGTTAGACTTGAATTTCGCTGCAAGGCGCTACTTTAGGAGGAGGATGCAACCTTGGCAGGATCATTGCCTCAGCACGAGGGATTACCGACATTCAGAGGCAAGATCTTGTCTCAGGTTCCGAAGAGGATGTGCGTGAAGCTCAAGATGGTAGCAGTATTGTTCATCTTCCTGGACATCTCTCGTCAAGGGATCCATGAAAGGGGACACTCACGAAGCACGGGTGCTTTCCTACTGTCAGCACATAAAGTAGTCATGGGGAAGGAGAGGAGACTTCATCGAGCATTATGCCTAGTCCTACCTCCCCCTCGCTGGCATTGGCCGTCCTTGTTTTGCTTCCTTTCGATATCATCACTTGGGCGCTTCGTTTTCATGTCCGACTTTCTCGAAAAGCATGGGGTCCAGATGACTGGTCTATGGTAGCTGCAATTGTACGAACACGTCGGGTTCTACCAATGTCACATTTGCTTATGAACAACAGCCACTTTTCATCATCTCAACGATGGGTATGCTTGGAATCGCCTTCACAGGAGGTGGAAAGAGGGACGACGAACTTACAGTCAACGAGAAGCAGACAGCTATGTTTGTAAGTCAAGCAGCGTATCCACAAGGTTAATCATGCTCACTATATACAGTGGTGGTCAGTTCTGCCATGTCACAGACTGCAAGCTCGACAATGATTGACTTCGTACAGGTTCATCATGCAAACTATGTTCTGCCTTGCTGCCATACCCGTCAAATGGGCCATTTGCTTCACCTTACTCCGCATCGCCAATGGCAAAAAGGCATATGAGTGGTTAATATATGCGATTATGGCGGCGGTTGCGTGTGTTATGGCCTCGACGACTATATACGAGTTCTTCCATTGCACACCAATTGCAATGAACTGGAAGGCTGTGGAAGGAGGCACCTGCAAGGCGCAAAGCAACATTACTGGATTCAGCTTTGCGCTCTCTGCGGTTTCAATCTTCTCGGATTGGTTTTGCGCAATCATGTGAGTCTTCCCGAAGTATTTGCTTGTGTCTTGACTGATCGTGGCATAGTCCCATTCCACTCCTTTGGAACGTCCAAATCGATCTCCGCGTCAAGATATCCATCATCGCCCTCCTCGGCCTCGGCATATTCGCATCAACAGCAGCCATCGTTCGCCTCACCGTAACACTCAACCTCAGCGCGACAACAGACTTCCTCTACTACGCTATGCCCGTAGCTGCATGGGCGCATGCTGAGCTTGGGCTTGGCGTTATTCTTGCAAACCTTTCGGCCTTGCGTCCCCTTCTCGAGAAGATGCTCGACCTTGGCTCGACATTGCGCAGCAGCAAGAAGCGTACCGGCGATCAGGCGTCCGGTGATGCATACATGGAGCTTGAGGAGGGTATCGGCAGTAAAAAGAGGGCAACTTTGTCGAAGAGACTGAGCGCGCGAACAGGAACTAAAGCAGCTGTTGGTGTTGGAGAAGATCTGGATGGTACCTCTTCTCTAGGTGACGATGATAGGTCTACGCGCAACATTATGAGCCGACACGGGCCGCATAACATACAGATAGACCATGAGTATGAGGTCAGCTATGAGAAAACAAAAGGCCATTGAACAAGACTAGCGGCTGGACACATGCAATCAGGCAGAGAAAATTTAGAGCGGATGATTGAGCGTCCGATGCATGGTGAGCCGTAGCACATGATCATACACGATAGCATATGAAGAATAGCTACCTTTCATCGATGGATTCTTGCGTCCTTCGCCAGTCTGTCAAACTTGTAGATCAATAGCACTTGGATCTAGAGCTCATGGATCGGCGCACAACAGATCCCTGTCGCTGATGCATGGCTGATTAGCCACGCCAGCGGCTAGTATCAATATCCCAACAGTCACGAAACGACATGCAGTATACCCTGGCTTAGAACACATGTGAAAGCCCTTACATGTTTTGCCCATTACTCGACAGATGCCACAGTTACCGGTCCGAGCGTTGAGCATAAGCTCAAAGCTCGTAAGAGGCGAAGCCATTCTTGTGGACCACTTCCATGTACAATCTCCTTCGCTGAGAACGGAAGTCCCTTGAAATGGGCTTGTATGCTAAGGCCACTGCGCTTGCGGGTCAATGTTCCTGGAACGGTGCTGCATGCGCTACTGCATGTCTAGGACTTTTGGCGATCGGGATATCGACTGTGCGAGAGGGGAAGCTATGGCAGTCTCAGGCAAGCCCATAGCTATGCTGATCTAGACACTAACTTTTTCTAGTACAGCTCTTGGTCCTATATACACTTACACTCGTTTTCATCATCACCTTAACCTCCCATGCTTTCTTCTCTCACCCCTAGACAATGTCCTCGTTGAACAAGATGTCTCACCTCGATAGCAACAACAATTTCCCAGACACCTTGCCCGAGAAGCATAATCCAGAACCCGTCACATCTCCCATCTCCCTCGACCCTGAAGAAGCAGATCGGCTACGATCACAAGCACTTTCAACAGACGTCTCCAAATTACGACATGGTTATTTCCTCAGTGCAAGGATCGTGGGCTCGTTCTCTGGAACTGGAATCGTTGTACTTGCGACGTATTTCCAGTTCCAAGCCTTAGCTGCTGCGATATCTTCCGTCAACGCAGACATCGGGCCAAGCGCCAATGTTGCCCTCGTCAGTACAGTATGGACTGTATCGCAGCCGATCTCGCTTTTGCTGTTCGGTCGCCTCAGCGATCGCTTTGGGCGACGGAACTTTGCCTTGGGTTCATGCATGCTTGCGATCATTGGTGGTATCGTCGCGGCCACAGCGCAATCTATCGAGACGTTGATTGGAGCCGAAGTTATTATGGGAATCGCATCTGGAGTGCCAGCAGCGTATCCACTCCTGGCGGGCGAGCTCGTAAGTAACAGGTACAAATATGTCGGTACTGCTCTAGTCGTCGTGCCCAACGTAATCGCAACGGGCTTTGGGGCATACATCGGTCTGCGATTGGTTCAGGTAGCTGATTGGCGATGGATCTTCTACATATACATTATGATGATGGGTGAGTCAGCATTCATCACGACATCTTGACTTGCTAATCATCATCACAGTCCCCGGCGCTGTGTTGTGGTTCTTCTTCTACCATCCGCCTTCCTATACCCAGCTTCACGGCAAGAAGTCCAGCAAGATCGCCGAACTCAAGAAGGTCGACTGGACAGGGGTCACCCTTTTGGTAGCTGGTCTGGCTCTTTTCCTGCTTGGCATCTCCTGGGGCGGCCCTGCACAGCCGTGGTCATCTCCAAGGATCCTCGGTCTTTTGCTCTCGGGTGCAGTGGCCATCATCGCGTTCATCCTCTACGAGGTCTTCCTACCGCCGGTGCAACCGATCGTTCCAATGCGCTTCTTCCGCGACATACGTGGGTTCACCTGTCTGGAAGTCATTTCCGCGACTTACGGTGTCATCAATATCGCGCTTTTTGTCATGTGGCCACAACAAGTTGTCTATATCTTTGGTTCCACTGTTAGTTCCTGGGAAGAGACCGCATGGCTTTCAACAACAGCTGCATTCGGTCTTTGGGGCGGGATAGTCATCCTCGGTCCTCTTATGTCGTGGATTGGCCACATCAGATACCAGATCTTGGTGTCTTCGATCTGGATGACTGCTTTCCTTGGTGCAATGGCCAGCATCACGGTGGAAAACAAAGCTCGTGCGATTGCCTTTTCGTTTCTGGCGGGTTGGACCATTGGGTGGGGTGAGGTCATCGCCGCGATTGTCGTACAGTATGTAGTTTCGGATCAAGACCTCGGTGTTGCGTTCTGTAAGTTCTTCGTTTACATCCTCGTGAATGTACCATTGCTGACTGGTGATAGCTGTGATCTCAGCGTCTCGCACTATCTTCGGTTCCATCTTTACCGCCGCATTCATCGCAGTCTATACGAATAAAGTGCCGGGCTACCTTGCATCCATAGTACCTCAACGCGTTTTAGCGGATGGACTGCCGGAAAGCTCGTTAGGCGCGCTGATGACAGCTGCCGCGACCGCCAACCAAACAGCTCTTCTAGAAATCGATGGCATGACACCGGAGCTGCTTCGCACCACCAACATAGCTATCAGCGATGCTTACTCCAAATCGTATGCCTACGTATACTACTTCGCTGTCGCTATCGGGGTGCTTGCGATCGTCGCGTCACTGTGTATGCGCGATTTCGATGGCTATCTTACTGGTCATGTATCGAGGCAGCTGTACCGCAAGAGAGACACTAGCACTGACCCATTAGAAGCTACCACACAGGTAGCTGGTCAAGGCTCGGTCGACGATAGCGACGGTGCCACGAAGGCCTGATGTGGTCTCTAGATATGATGGCCTGGATTTGGAGAAGAGGTTTGGGATGCGCAAGCTGAGAGCGCCCGGTTTCGTGCATTTGGATGCATTTGCGTGTCGCTCTTCACCTCGCGGACATCCCACGATTGCGATTCGGCCAAGGAGTACACGATTGGTTTACGGAGAAACGTAGCATGAAACAGCTGTAGCCACGGTGGAAGTAGTATCAATATTAATAACTGCTCGTACAACGCGCAAGGCATGATGCAAATGCGCTCGTGAGATCGCGAGGTTTGGCACTCGTTTCCCTTTGATGGGCGCGCCAAGCCGCTAACTGTTCTGGGCTTAGATCTGCCATGCCATCAATTGATGACGTGATCGAAATTGCACAGATCGCGCTCATGCGCACCATCACCATGTTCGCACACGTGGAACTCGGTGGAACGTGCATACATTCGAATGCTCATTACTAGGTCTATAGTGATTCCTATCCAACGGGTTGTTGTATCCTGCGTGTCCAGTCGTCGATTCGCCGCCGTTTCTTTCCCTCCGCGCAGTCGCTGAAGCTCCAGTACGGCTCCGTGTGCCAGGACTTACTTTTCGATGCCGGCTTCAGCACGGAGTCTTGCATTTGTGGCATCTCTCTGCGGGGCTCGACGCCGGCATCCGGATTTGCTTCCTCTCCTGAGCTCGAGACGTCGTCATCTCCCTCTGCTGCCCGTTTCCATTTCTCTGCCATGTGCAGTAAGTACCCCAAAGGCCGCAGGTTGGGTTTGGAGCTAGCGTCAATGGCATTAATCCATTCCTGGACGGCGTCTCGGTCAAGGCACTGCTTCTTGACTGCTGCGTATTCCTCAAGATCGTATGGGAAGTTTGGTTCCCTGTCATCGTCCGAGCCTATGATGGAGACTCCTGCTTCTGCTGCAGCTACTAACTGAGCTTCATGGGCCGCTTCTGCGCGTGTCACCACTTCAGCAAGCTTGCTTCCAGCGCGCACATAGTCGCGGCTGAACTCTTCCTCTATGAGGCGGTCGGGTGCATCCGGTCGGTCGGCAGCAGCAGCAACGCGTGCTGCGAGAAGTCCTCGTCGGAAAGTATTACGATGTTCGTCGTGTTGTCTTTGAGCCTCGTGCTTCTCTCTCCGAGCTTTGGCCTCTCTCACGATAGCAATGGCCTGACCAACGCTCAACTCTCCCGCCTTTGCTGCTTTCGTCGTGGCTTCATTCTCGCCAGGCAGGGGTTTAGAATCCTTCTTTTCATCGAAGCGTGACACGATGGGAGGCTTACTTGCCACCCTCATCCCTTCAACCCTCTGCGCGACGGGAGGAACACTCACCGCCTTATCATCCTCAAACAGCCCGCACCGGACAAAGATATCCTGCAAATTCTTCTCTACTACCACTGCAACACCTTCCCATGCTTTACGGGCAAGCTCAATGTCGCGCGATAGAGTTTTCTTTTTCTGCTCAATCTTTTCCATCTTCTGGTTGATTTCATGCGCTTCTCGGTGCAAGCGCTCAGCCGTAGGACTTTCCTGTGGAGTCGGCGTTCGGCCTCCACTGAGCTTCGGCAATCCTTGCAAACGATGCTCGACGGACTTTTGCGACAGCCTGCTCATTCTCAATTCCTGGTCCAGTTTCGGTATGGATAAGTCTTTTTCGCGCCGGTATTTGAGGCCGGTTGAGATCTGGTTTTGGATCATCGTGGCCAGCTTGTATGGAACCTTCATCAACATTACAGGCGGGCTGCTGTCCACCTCCTCAGTCTTAGCCCTCTTCAAGATGAACATCTCGGCAGCTTCGTTGGCGCACAGCTGCTCGATGTCTGCCATGCTCTCCATGCTCGCACTTTCTGGGCCTTCCAGAGGTGAACCTCGAGTAGAATTATCATGCGTTTCTGTATCGTTGTTAGCCATTGGAATGTTTACACTTCCGACGTCTTTTATACCTTTTTCTAACGACGAAGACAATTTTCTCCGGCTTCGATATATATCTGGAGGCGGTTCTCCGGTCGTTCTTCTTTTCTTTGTTCGCATGTTCTGTGTGACGCCTTTGCTGCCCTGTTTAGCTGCACATCTTTCGCTGTTATCGCGATTATTGTCTTCGCCACATTCGAGCGCTCGCTTTCTGGTCTTTCCAGTCTGATCCGCTTCATACTGAGGGACTTCTTCGAAGTGATCTTCAATGTTGACCATGATGGAGGGGCTACGTCTGAGGCGAAGGGAAGACTAGGTATTTGAGACTGTAGATGTAAGCGAGAACAATGCACTCCTTTGTTTAGTTTTACATTGTGGTCAAAGCTTGTCTTCTATACATGAGTCCTAGGTCTCCAGTGTCTTGCGGCTTCGCTTCTGTAAGTCGCGAGTAGATACTGTCCCAACACATGATGCCGCGGGTCGACATCAAGAAAAGGACTCGAGCATTGGGACGGTTTTCGACGACGTTAGGCGACTAGGTACCTTTCGGTCCATTACATTGCCGATGTGTTCGCCACCCTATTCACTCAGTCTGAATGGTGTTGAGTGAATGGCATATGTTGATTCGCTATGCAGCAAGTAGCAATATGATTGCAGCGACGTTGCACGTTCACAGAGCACGACCTGCTTCACTGAGCCAAAATATGTGCATCGCAATGTTCACGGACCATTGCATGAAACTATAGATGTGAACACACTTGCGGTGTTACCCACGAAGAACCCCCCTGCATCCACACCGGTTAGACCTGTAACTACAATCCAATTCAACCACGGAAGTCGTTTTCGGATCTTCACGGCTTTAGCATCTGAACACACATATTGACGACAGATATGGCAAGAACAAACGCAGGGGCTCGGCCTAGTAGGGGTAGACGTGTTACCTGGTCACCTTATGCCAGACATGCGCGTAGCGAAGCCGACATGGACAGACTGTTATGGCGAGCGATACCTCCTGGCTTCGATGGCCCAATCATTGACGAATTCCCCGGTGAGCGGATTGAGGCGGTCTATCTTGTTAAAGCTTCGAACACCAAGCACTTCCGGCTCCTCTCACAAGCGGAGATTGGCCGGCTCAAGCTAGGTGACTTGTTTCGAGCCATAGTACACGAAGCAACCACATCTCCTCGTGAAATTGGAGAAAAAGGAATGACACCCACCATCTTTGGCCAAGCGGTACCCAAAGATCGATTTTTTGTCCTCGTAAAGAAACACCGAAAGCACGGGGTGTTCGTACCTGTGACATCCCGAGAGTTGCAGGGGCTAGAAGGTCTTGATGAGGCAGAACGATATGCTTACATCGGTTTTCGAAAGGAAGGGGAGGTCTTTGACCTCAATAAGCTTACTGAAAAAGACCCCCAGTACCTAGCTAAGTGGGATCCGCTTATGCTTGCCGAAGGGGACTTAGATCCCTTCTCGTTCGCGAACCTCTCTTACCCAACGTCGTTGTATTGGTCCAGCAACCTCCTGCGTGCAGGCTGCCTGACGAACCTCAGTACACAGCGGGTACTTGAGCTGTTCGAAGAGATCGACCAGGTCACTCCAGAACAAGATCCTTCATCTGAAATGGAAGAGCTGAAGGATCAAGAAAATGCGTTTATATTCCAGCTTCATGAGTCCACTGCTAGCGGCGAAGAGGATCCAGACCGGCCAAAAGGTACTGCAAATGAGCAAATCGCCGCCTACAGCGCACGACATCGTGACGTCGAATTTGTTTTGAAACTTCTGAAAGAAGTCGAAGATAAGATATTCCAGGCCGTGGACGATAGCACCATCAACGCCGCCAAGGCAGAGAACAACGTGCGAAGAAAACGGTTCGAGTACCACAACGCGCTTCAAACTGGTGACATCGGTACACTTGCACTAGAGTTGTACCAAAAGGAGATCGAAGAAGCCAAGATCGATCGTGACGAGAAGCAGAAGATCAAGGATGATATGGTGGCATTAGCTGAGGAGATGGAGCGGAAGCCCGAACTGAGGCCTCGCATCCCGGCTGGCGCGGAAATCACGGAGGGGCGGATGACTATCATTAATGACGCTATGCGATCGCTTCAGGACCGTATGGATAGCATTTCTAAGCAGATGTAAGTTGACTGGGTCGACCTACACGTATGGATTGGCATTGCAGCATGTCTTTACAGCGCTTGATATAATATATTCCTCCGTTCTTCATTAACTCGCCCCCTCGATACAGTAACGCCGTGAAGTAAACATCACTCTAAGCTATGCATCATGGGCCATGAAATGTATGATGTGATCTTGAAATGAACATGATATGGTATTGGGTATTATCGCACCAAACAACTAACTCCAAAGCGCCTCGCTTCTATGCTATCGCAAGTCCTCATACACGCGTCAAGTTCGCTCCCTCAAAAGCATCATACCAGCCCTTCATTTCCCACCGCCTCGTCAACAGCCATTGCTTCGTCTTGGCATTCTCATAAATATACGGTTGCTTCCACCACTTCTCGTGAACGCTGACCAGCCCCTTGGCGATATCCACGTCGTTCGGACAACGGATGTTCCAAGTGTATGCGATCTCCCGCCACGGCATCGGCCCGTCCCAACGATGTGCGAAGTTCATGAGGTTTTGTTCGGGGTATCGGGGGTCGAAGGAGTTGGGTGTGTTGAGGAGTTCTTTGTAGTAGTTGAACGCGTCGAGCGAGGGTGCGAGGATGAAGAAGCCGGCGTTCATCTTGCCGGCCTTCTTCAGGCCGGTGCCGTGACCGGGTGGGAAGGAATGGGTCGAGTCCCAGACTTCGGAGTTGGATGCGAGGAGGTAGGTGGAGGGTAGGTTCGTTTCGTTCGTGGGCTTGGTGGCAAGGAGCTGGGCGCCTGGGTCGTCGAACACGCCGTCGAGGTTCTTGAGCAGCATCGAGTCGCCGTCCATCACCAGGATGCGGTCGTACTGTGTCATTTCCCAAACGCGTAGCTTCGTCATAACGTCGTCCCATCGGTGTAGCTCAGCGTGGACCCAGCTGTCGTTTTCGGTGTGCAGGAATTCGACAGCGTGGACGATGGCACCATCCTTCGCTAGGCGGTCGCGCCGGGCCTGCGAGACGCTGGGTGTGACCATGACGACGACATCGTGCTTCGTGCGAGTCTCCTCTTTGTGTACGAGCTGCCAGACGAGAATGCGGATAGCTTGGAAGTACTTGTCCTCCTCCAGATCATCGCCCGCATCAACGGTTCCGGAGAGAAACGTGACGTATGCTAGTCTCTCCTCTCTGTCGAGAGTAATGTTGGCGTTGACATAGGGCGGTGGTTGTGGTATCGGCTCCTTCTTTTCTTCTGATTTGGCGGCGCTGTCGCTTTTGTGACTTTTAAACTCCGGAATAGAAATGTGGTCGAACGCGCGCGTTTCCACGGCGAGAAAAACAAATGTCGACACGATCACAAACGTCCCCAGCGCGATCCGGATCCATCGAGGGCTTGCAAAGATATTCCAAGAGCCGGAAGGCTTCATCCAGTTGGGCTTCGACCCAGACATGGACGCCATGGTGCTGGAGCAAAAGAACGACTGGATTCAAGCTTACCGGCAGGCAGCGACGCCCGCCGTATTTCAACCTCATCCCTTTCCACGCCGGTCCCGTAAGCCCAGCCGCATCCGGTTGGACAGCATATTATGCGAGGGGGCAAACCCGTCGAAAGGTAGGCAGCCTACCATGAGTCGCGGACACCCCGGCATATCTTGCGCTGTCCAGACCCTTGCGAACGCTGACAGGCTTGACAAGCAAAGCTTGGCGAGAATGCGATAGTTTGATTAGCTGCTAAGCATGCAGCGGAGATGATCGCCCCCGCCCCCTTGTCGGCGCAGTAAGACCAGCTCAGCCCTGTACGTCTGGGGACTTGCCCGTCGAGTATCGTGAACGTAACGGGCCGAACGCTGACCTAACCAAGACTGCACAAGCAGAGTAGCCTCGGTGGAATGCGCAAATATTTCCTCCTTGGATGCGCCCTTGGAGGCCTTGTATAACCGTACGAAAATGAAGAAAATGATGCGAGGCTCGTATCGCGTTTGATCTTTCGCTCGTTTGCCCAGAATAGCCGGGCTAGCAGCAATCGCGCCACGCCTACTTAGGTACAATCCGCTATTTCGGGGCGCCTAACGACGCCAAATTAAAAACGCAAAGCTTACGGTCTGGAAACTTACAGGAAGACATGCTGTCACAGTAACAGAAAACTTCTCATGCGCAGTCCGATCGTTCTTCGGAATGTTTCGATCAAACCTTGGAACTATCCGGCACCGACGGAGCCATAGTACAGGTACACGAGCAGACTAATCTGGTAGGAGCACAGGCACGTCTATGCCTAGATGGAGCAACGTCTAATAAGATTATCGGCATTTCTTTCCTGAAAAGTCTGACGGGTTCGTCGGTGTAGGGCCGTTGCAGCCAGAGTACCCAAGACGGTGATTTCGGCCAGATTTCGCCTGGGTCGCGCCGTGCTGCGGTACTGAACCTGGTCAATCTTCTAATCCGCTGGTAAGATTGCTGAATAATCGGTGGAATACCGTTGGGGGTTTTAGTGTAGGATGTACTAGGCGCACTGTGACGGCAGCGCACCGCTTCAACACCATATCACGGCGGGTGTTTGGTTGTACAGATATCTAGGTATCGTTTCATCTCCTGCCATGCCTCACAAGAACGGTGTATGATCTCGCCTTGGCCGCTGATGGACGGCGCAGCCACGTCGGTTACGCAAGCTACACGTTGTAGAGGTACGCCTGACCGGCGTTTACGCGGTGTGCAGAAGCTTTCCAAAGCCTTGGGAAGAGTGCGTCGATGATGCACACGTCGAGCAATCCCTCAATCTGAACGGTTTCCGCATAACGCTACTTCCTGATGGTCTTGAGCTCTTCAATCGAGGTCATTCGTCGGCTGTCGCGGGTACCTGTACCGGGTCTCTCAACGAGGTAAGACTTTGCGTAGGATGCAACGCGGCAGAAGCAAACATTGTACCTCAATGGAGCTCAACCGCCGTGTTCGTCGCATCTAGATTGGGGGGGGCGGAGTTCCCTGGCGTTCTTGGACGCCCCGAAGTCAAGCATCAATCGTGTTTCTTCCTCCATTGTGAGCCCCTCCATTGAGGTTGAGACGTGGTAGCAGCCCCATCGCTCACCACAGCGGCATCAGATCGTTCGCCTTACACTGACATTTGACTGCAGCCAATGAGACGCAGATGCATGCGTGTGACGTGGTATATCGCCGGGTCCGCGGAGCTGTATGATGTAGTCAATACAAAGCTGCAGGCCTAGGAAGATAAGGAGGCGAAGCAACCCCAAATCCTTCCGGGCGAAGTACAGGATGCAGACTAGGTACTCAAACACAGCACGTGTTTCAGCTTGATCGCAACATGCAACCTAACTCGTCAGTCTGGATTTTACCGTCATTCGTGGAATCGTATGAGATCAGTGGAGGCTGTGTACCTGTCGTCGTCGGCAAGGCGCCTGCATGCCAAGACCTCGCCTAGCTTCCCGCCTTCCTTCGAAACTGGCTGGACTCACGACTTGGGCACAACACCCTTAGCGGCCTCAGCAAAACGCGCTCTGAGTGATGCCCACAGCCAGTCGCTCCGCCATGAGTTTCGCAATCGCAGCTGCATCACTGAACTGCTGGAAAATATCCAGGCCAACGGTTTGCGTCGACGTCGCACCTTCCCCTCCAGTCTACCTCGGCAGTTATGGGTCTCGCGTATCGACAGACGCAAGCACGACCAACAGAATGCTTATGCATCCCTCGCCCCACGATGTCACGTGCAAGGAGGTCAAATGCAGTCCTACCAACATCCTAAAAGAGAAAGAGTCTACAAATACTTCGGAGGTCTTCGAGCCACTTAAAAGCTGCACAGATGAAGTGGTTAGAGAAAGTATGATGATAGGGATGCTTATCGTTTCATACCTAGGTAGGAGACTGCTTTCTGCTCGACCATATGGACGGGGAGATTGTGCGGAATGATGAGGAGACGAAAGATCTTGTTCTCATTGAACATCGTCACGGCCGACAATACGAGAGCGCGAAGAAGATTTGACGACATGAATTACTGAGCCCGGAAACGAAGTGCGCCCTACATATCCTCATTCATGGGACACCCGACTAGAAATTGAACACCTGACTACCAGAGTTGTTGGCCACACCCGTTTGCATACCAACTTTGGTGGAATCGCGGTTATTGAATGTTGGCGACTTGTGATCCTGTTGGGGATGTCAGAATTGGCTCATCATCTGCACCAACGCCAAGCAACTAACCTGGGACTTCAAAGCCTCGACGACTGCATTCTCAAGTTCCTTGTCTTGCAATGCTGCGATGTCCTTCAGTGCAAGACGAGCATCCCTGGAGTTGATCTCAGACACTTCCGTCCTGCACAGCCGGCGCTGTTCTTCGTGCGCCGCAGGGAACAATTGCAGAAGATCGTTGACAAGATTTGCAATGTCTTGGATCAAGTCATTGAATTGTTTCTTCTCATACAGCGCCCACTGCACCTTCCGCCTCAGGGGCGTTGTGTTGCTGCGCTCGCTAGATTGGGCGCGCATTTGCGCGAGCAACGACTGGCCCACAGGCTCCATGTCAGTGGCCGAGTCGAAAGTTGCGAGGTCTCGATCGACTTCTGCTGCGTGGCTCCCGTACTTGGCTGAAACTCCCTCTGCTTTCGCGAAAAGCCCCAATATCTGCCTTAACACATTGTCGGCTGCAGTCACGTTCTCTGGTGGTGCAGTCGCCAATATAACGCTGGAGGTGTTGTCTATGTCGCCACTCAGCCCAATAGCCTTGCCCCAACGCGAGAGTCGCAATCTCTCATTTTCCAGCCTGAGCAAACTGGTTTGAAAGTCGGTACCGAAAGCACGACCAAGTTGGACGTATTCAAAGCAGTCGACAGCGTTGTTGAAAGTGGTAGCAAGGGCAATAATGCCGACAGCAAGACCGGCTGGTTCCATGATTAAAGACAGCGTAACAATGTTGATTATGATTTGAGAAGTAGGACCACAGGTATTATTCCAGTACGGAAGGAAGGAGGAAGGCTCGGCTTTTGCTTACTGCTCAGCTCACGCGAAAGGCTGAAGCGCTGCGTGTGGCCAGGGGCTGCATGGGCCTTCAGCCGTCATCTGGGAGTCTGCCTCGCAGAATACCTTTTTGACTGCCTCAGTCTTACCCTGCGCATAATACTCGCTTTGAGCCGACACGAGATTGCGCTCTGTCTAATTGCACTGCCTTACTTCTCCTCTGATATGTCGCACCTCTCCGCCCTTGCTACTTAGCGGCCATGGAGCCACATGCAGCTGCTCAACCTGTCAACTTCAACAACGATGGTGGGCGGTTCGCCATCCAGACGGGAGTATACCAAAATCTTGGTCAAACCATCGTGAAGTATGCGCACTCTTTATAATTGAGACAGAGGTGCAACGTCGCTGACAGAGCTGTAGTCAAGCCTCGGGTGTCGAACTTGAGCGATTACCGCACGCTACCGAGGCGCCGTTCAATGCGTACGTTAGGCAGCACGAGCCTTTCTGCCTTCCCGGCACACGAACCGCCTTGTTGGAGCAGATATACAGTTGGGCCGATGCACAAGATGAGCGATGTATATACTGGTTGAACGGCCTAGCTGGCACCGGGAAGTCGACGATCGCGCGGACTGTAGCTCGTAGGCTCGACAATCGAAGTAGTCTAGGGGCCAGTTTCTTCTTCGCCAGAGGCGGCGGCGACGTTGGACATGCAGGGAGATTTGCAACTAGCATCGCTTTTCAGCTTGCAAGCAACGTTCCAGCAACGCGCCAGCACATACTTGATGTGGCTAAGGAGTTTCCCCACATTTCGAACCTTTCGTTGCGCGACCAGTGGCGCCACCTCGTCCTCAAACCTCTATCCGCATCAGCCGTTAACATCGACACTACCTCCATTGTCTTGATAATTGATGCCCTGGACGAGTGCGACGGGGATGACGATGTCGGCAAGATCATCGAGCTGTTGGCTGAAGCCCGGGACCTGAACAGACTACGACTTCGGATATTTCTAACAAGCAGACCTGGAGTACCGATCCGGCATGGCTTTGGCCGTATGTCAAACGCACTGCTTCGGCGCTACGTCCTACATCACATATCGCCTGACATAGTTGATGCTGACATAGAGCTCTTCCTGACACAACATCTCATGGTCATTGGCCAGCAACAATACCTACCTGCAGACTGGCCCGGCCCTGGAATGATCGCAAAGATGACAAAGAGGGCCAGTGGTCTCTTCATCTGGGCGGCAACAGCGTGTAAATTCATCGGACAAGGAAGGCGATTTGCGGAGCGAAGACTAGAGTCAATCATGAGATATGATAGCGGCGGTCCAGTCGGGCCTGAAACACATCTCGACAGCATTTATCTTACCGTCCTGCGCGACTCGGTCTCGCCCGATTATACGACCGAAGAGAAAGAAGAACATTACAAGACGCTGAGACTTGTGCTTGGGACCCTGGCGGTACTAGAGAGACCCCTTAGCATGCGAGCGCTGGGTGGACTATTGGATATTGGGAAAGAGTATGGAGGCATCGAATCAATCGTCCAAGACTTGCACGCAATACTCGATATACCTGAACATAAGAATCGAACACCCCGCCTTCACCACCCTTCGTTACGTGACTTTCTGCTCGACCATAGCCGATGCACGGACGCCGAATTTTTTATAGACGAAGCACACGCGCATGGTGCTCTTGCGTCTCGATGTATTGAGCTGATGACTCGATTTTTCCAACAATATCGAGAGTTATCACCCACCTATGGTACTGCGATGACGCAGAGCGACGACGAGCCACCCATGACTCCCGCAATACATCACTACGACATAAGCAAAGTCACCGCTGATAAAATGAGAGAGATCGCAATTCTTGAATTCTATCAAAATACACATGCAAAGAGCATGTCGATCAACCCATCTGAACACCAAAAGAATTATCAAGAGTTATATGGAAAGCTCGACTCATTCGACGACCCTCCAGAGCCTGCGCTTATTCCTATGGAGCTGGTATACGCATGTCGTCACTGGCTTCACCACGTTGTACAAACCGGGACTGAAGACATCGTCCGAACACAAGCTGGCACTTTCACCAAGGAGTACATTGATGAGCAGGTCATTTTCCGTTTATAAACTTCGCGTATGATTGGAACAGATGGAGAGAAACTGATTAGAGCAGGGGTAGAGAAAGTAATCAAGTGCATGTTGTACATTCAGCATAAAGATGAATGTATGAGCCATAGAGTATCAACAAAAAGTCGTCCAAGTCTGAGGGCGTGTTGTACCGTCTAAAATGGTTCCATGGTTCTGACTAGATAGCTCTGCTTGAATTTGAGGAAATTCAAGGTAATCTAAGGTAGAATCAACGCGAGGAAAGCCAATGTAGCTAAAACTAGATTGACATGACTCAAAATTATGCAAGCGACCGCCGAACCCCAGATTCGTACCAAGAATTATCTGGACGAAGTCGAAACCAGTGAGAGTGGAAAGACGAATCAATTCCAGATTCTAACGTTTTGATATCCAGACTAGCTGAGAAGATATGTGCCCAACCACCGATGGATGGCAGTAGGGTATCGTAGACCAAAAACAAACAAAAAGCAAAAACAAGTTCGCGAAACCGCAAGACCGCAAAAAGCGCAACACAGACCAGACAAACCGTCGCCCAAAGTGATAAAGATATGCCTCCGACTCCCCTTCCACATTATGCATATGCCCGCGATATCGACGTTCATGACCATACCGCTTCATTTCCGTTCGTTTTCCACCTATCTCCTCGCATCACTCTCCCTCCGATTACTAGGCGCAATACTGCTCCCCCTCCTCATGCGATCACTAGGCGCAATGCTACTCGCCGCAATACTAACAACATCGCTCATGGAATCCTGATCGCGCTGGTAGCTATACTGCATGCCCGAGTCGGGGCCTTTGAAGCCGTTGTCCCAAGCCGAGATGCGCGAAAGAAGCCTACACACCCAAATTAAAACGATTCTTCTTGCACAGCGGATGTGCAGTATTTTGTGGAATATTTGGTGTGCCCTTACCGATCGTCTGGCGGACCGTAGTATTCTTCTGGGATGAGCTCGTAGTCGCCTTCGACGGGGAGGTAGAAGGCGGAAACGGCGATGGCGACGGAGGTGAGGAAGAGGATGGTCCAGCTGGCGGTGCAGAGGGTCCAGGAGAGGTCGAGGTGCCAGCCGGACCAGAAGCGCTCGTCGTGGTCGAAGAGGAAGGCCTGGGCGTGTGACTGTTAGCATGCTTTGCTTCTGCGATGGGGATGGGACCCTGCAGGAAGCAGGGAAAACGCGGGGAAAGACACGTACCACTATGGCCATGCCGGCGCACTGGACGATGGCGCTGAAAGAGAGGACGCCAACGGCGACCTGCCAGCCTGCGGCTCGGCGCTGGACTCCGCCGGAGATGATGACGATGAAGGAGACGATGGCGCATAGTTCGACGACGACGCCGAAGGAGGTCAGAAAACCGACTGTCCGCCACATGTTGCAGAAGGACGGGTCCTTTGTGCAGTCGCTCTTCTTGGGGAAGGGGACACAGGTGCCCGTGACGGCGGAGCAGCGACTGTGGAGGCCGTACGAGTATTCGCGCTTGCCGTCGGGGCTGTAGCTGACCCATCGCGGCATCGAGATACTGGCGATGGTCATGATGGTACCTGCGCAGTCAATCAGTCTCATTTTCCTTTGTAGCGGCATTATCATCGTCTCTTACAGGCCAGTGTGAGGATGAGCCCCACGCCATATACAATTCTTCGCGTCATGGTGGATGTGTAATTACTGTCTCAGCGGGTGGTGAGAAGTTTCGCCCCGAGTCTCGTGTCGAATCGAGACGGTGGCGCAGAGGGAGGAGTTGCGGGGTTTATGATGCGGCGGGATGCGCGATTAGGTGTGAGGCGTGCAGTTGCAGCGTGCGTGCAGGACGGAGAGGCTCTAACTCTAGGCGGCGGTTGAGTACAAAGGGTGGGTTGGCAGGCGCGACCGAGCGAATAGATAAACAGTCGCCAGGTGACTGAGGGCAGGCGCAGGTGCGGGGAGGACGGATTCAGCCGGGGCTACACGGGGTCAGAGCGACACCATGATATGGGTGGGAGATGGCTGATGGGTGGGTGTGAAAAACGCTGCTCTCCCGTCTGGAATCGCGCTAGGAGGGGGAGGATCGTGGTATGGCGAGGCGTGTGCTCCATGACGACAGGGGCGCTTGGACGCCTTTCCCCACGCGCCCCTAGCTTCACTTCACCGCTAGGACTTTCTCTCGACACCACCTACTGATAGCGCATAGCGCGTTGTGGGTATAGCCAGTGTCACGGTGTTCACATTCTTATTTCAGGTATATACATTATACGACATGTCCCCTTCACCAAGCGAGCGCGAAGGATTCACAGACTTGGATGGCGCAAAACCTGCATCGCATTTCGGAAAAGCGGTGTCAAATCCCATGTTGAGCTTTGCGCCATGCTCCGATCGCCGATCATGTCGTGATGGACATGGCATGATCCTAGGCTCTGCTAATTCCTTGAAACTTAAACTTTTGTCAAGTCTTGTGAACTTCCCAGTATCCTCCGACTCCGAATCTTTGCGTGTCACAGGTACGAGGCATTTTTGGATGGGATGATGGATTGGCAGTTGCATACACTGATAAGGATCTGGTCACGCACACCAGCCACACCACCGATCAGCGTCAGCCCACCGGTATGCGAACTGTAGCGAACACGTGGGGCCGATGCGATATTCGAATGGTAAATCGCGGTACCAGCTGGACGCGAGTACAGCAATGGTCATTTGAAACTTGCCTCACCGCTTTAAGCCTCACGATTGATGTCGCCATGAAGCTATTCTTGCTGGGCTAGGGAGGCCTCGGTGATAAGAGGCGCTGAGCTAGGTAGTCGGCAAGCACCTAGTGGACGCACTCCGCACTGCAGCATCATGCAGCTACCATATTGGCCTGCATCTGTCATTGGACGATTAGTGCTGCAACGGCGCATGCCTCGCACGGAGGAGAGAGCGAATTGATAACGACGCACGTCGTTGAAGGCTATTGGACCACCTGCCAGTCTAAGGTTGGCATGTCCAGCCTGCAAGCTTACAATGGAGCTTTAAAAGTATACATATAGTACAGAGGACGTGTTCCTCGAATGGGTAACGGTCTAGAAGACAACGTTCTCGGGGTTTCGCTCAGGCTGTGTCCTCGGCTTCTGCAGCATCTCGTAGCAGAGTATCGACGCAGCAACGCTGACATTCAGACTGTCGACTCCGACCTCGTTGGCCTCGCGGCCATGGGGGATTCCGACCTTGTATCTCGCCAGGTTGACCAGACTGGTCTTCAATCCAGTGCCCTCAGCACCCATCATGAGGATTGTGGGGTGCTCGGCAACTGGGCTGTGGTCGGCGGGAAGACGTTTCCTGCCCTGCGAAATAGTGTAAACTACTTTGTTGGATCCAGGCTCGGGTGCGTCTTCGGTTGAAGAGAGACTTGGGGGCGCAGGCGGAATGGCGTCGCTCGCGTAGATGCACCACCCTGCACCCGCGCTCTTTTTTAGAAAGTCGGTTGGGTCTCCGACCTTGAAAAGCGGGATGGCCTCAGCGGCACCGGCCGAGGCCTTGACCGCGATGTGGCTCCAGTTTGCGGTATGGTGGGTCGGCGTGATGATGGCGTCCGCACCCAGGACATAGGCTGAGCGTGCAATAGCCCCAAGATTGCCTTCATCGACCTGTCTTTGTTAGCTATCATCTTATAGACGGTATTGTTGTACTTACTACTCCGTCCACGTAGAGGATCAGTGGGTGTCTCCACCCTCCAGATTTGTATGAGTATAGCTCTTGCTTGCCGTTGACGAGCAGGTCTTCAGCGCTTTGGCTATCAAGTGTGACCCTGAAGCTCCCATCCTCGAGAGAAGTCGTCTTCAGCTCGGTAATGGGAGGGACAGGCAGAGGCGATGCCTCGAGAATCACCCCGTTGTGAGGTCGACCACTACTTGCTTTGTCCAGAGCGCGCATATGCTCATCTCCAACTTCTTGTGTGATTGGGAATAGTTTGTGCGACCTGATACGAGACATGAGGCCTTCTCTACTTGCACCTCGTGAGTGTACGTATAGGTTGTAGAATTTACGCCGGTCCGCCTTGATCGCAGCTACCACGCTCCCATACCCGTATACGAACTCTGAAGCGGCAGTCGTGTAAGGGAGTGACTCTGGTCCTCGCACGGAAGGCTTTTGCGTCTCCGCGCCGGCATCAGACGACTCTCGGGCATGGCGTTCTCTTCTGGCGCCCTTCGAATCCGGTCTGTGAGAGAATCGCGGTTCGAAAGAACGGTCATTTTCATCCCGAGCTCGCGGACTGTATGATGTCGCGTCATCACCCCTTTGGGAGAATCGTGCTTCAGTGACACCTTCGTCTGCTACATCGCGAGTGCGGGGCGTGTATGAAGGCGCCCTGTCGTCCCTCCAGTTTCTCTCTGGCCTCTGTTTCCGTGAGTCATTGCGATCATTTGTCCTATGTTTCCGTGAGTCGCTGCGATTATTTGGCATACGTGGCTGGGGCCTATAGCCATCCTCATAGCGTTGGAAAGTTTCTGGTGGGTGTATATCCCCGTTTCGTCTCCCTTCCGGATCAAGCCTGTGCGGAGATCGTTTTCTCTCGCCATACAATCGCTCATATTGTTTTTGTGCCTCGCTGGGGCGGTGCGAGCCCTGCTCGGCTCCCGTTCCACGCGCATCTCTTCCAAAGCTGCTTTGTCGCTCTCGTTGAAACCCGCCTTGTCGTTCTCTTCCCAGATCACTTGATCGTTCTCTTCCAAAACCATTCGATCGATCTCTTCCAAAGCCGCTCGGTCGCTCTTCCTTGGACCGACTCGGCGCATCGTCATCGCGGGGTATACGTCCGAATCTGCTACTGCGAGGTGCTACAGTCGAGCGATCACCGAATCTTGGTTCTGGATCGTCACGAGGAGGACCAAATTTCTCGAACCGTGCCTCACGGCGAGTCTCACGGCGATTCTTCACCGGTTCATCTTTTTCGTCGTTGCGGTCGTTTCGTGTCCGCGGTCGGAAGGGTCGATCTGGTCCACCCTGCCTGCCCCTCTCGATGGCGGCAGTAATGGATTTGTAGCGGAGGAAGGTGCG